TCCCCGCTGCTGCTGGGGCTGCTAGAAGCAGCAGGAAATACAAATGAAGCTGTTGCGCATGCAGCTGTCTCTGCACTCCAAGCACTGCACGACGTACTTGGTCGCTGCTGCAGCCACAGCGAACCAGCAGCAGCAGCAGCAGCAGATGCAGCAGCAGCAGCAGGAAACAGTTCAGCAACAGATACGCAACTATTGAAGAGACACTCGGCAACGGTGCAGCCAGCAGAAGGGAAAGGGGAGGAGAAACAGCAGCAGCAGCAGCAGCAGCAGCAGCAGCAACAGCAGCAGCAGCAGCGGCAGCAGCAGACAGAGGCAGACGCAGAGGGAGAAGACTCAGGAGAAAGACAACTGCAGCAGCAGAAATGCAATGGGCTCTCCTCATGCAGCGAGTGCTCCTACATACGGCATGCAGAAGCAGCAGCAGCAGCAGCAGCAGAAGGCGCAGGTGTAGCAGCAGCAGCAGCAGCTGCAGCAGCAACAGGTGGGAGGTGCACTGACGGGCCGCGGTGTTTGTTGAGGACTGAAGGGGCTTTGCTGCTGGATGAATTGGCTTGCCGCATGCAGCAGCAGCTGCAGCAGCAGCAGCAACAGCTGCTGCAGCAGCAGCAACAGCAGCAGCAGCAACTAGAAGAACCGCGAATTGTATCTTTGCTTTCTGCTGTTATCGCCTTGGCTCCGCCTTCTCTTCTGGGGCCTGTGGGGTCTCTCTTGACGTTGCTGCTGCAGCAGCAGCAGGTGCTGCAGGAGCGTCTGCAGCAGCAACTGCTGCAGCAGCAGCAGCATCAGCAGCAGCAGAGTAGCGCTTCTGTCCCCGTGTGGGTGCTGCGTTTGTTTGCTGCGTTTGCTTCGTGTCTATCGGGGCAGTTGAGAGCAGCAAGACGAAGCCGATACTTTTTGTCTTTGTCTCCGTTTGTTTGCTGGCGTTGCTGCGAGTCTCCTGCAGCAATACAAATGCCTTCTGCTGCTGCTGCTGCTGCTGCACCTTCTGCAGCAGCAGCAGCAACTGCTGCTGCTGCTGCTGCTGCTGCTGCTGCAAGACAATGCTCTTCTTCCTGTATTGTACCCTCTTCCCTCATGCGGCGTCGCGTCTCTCGGGGCGGCATGTGGGCCAGCAGCAGCAGCAGCAGCAGCAGCATTGCAGCAGCAGCAGCTGCTGCTGCAGCAGCTGCAGCAGGAGATGCTGTAGGTTCAGCTCGAGAGCCTGCTGCTGTTTGTCTTCTCCGCTCAACGAGTTTGCTGTTTGTAAATGAAGACCCAGAAGCAGATGAGTTCCCTTCTGAACCACCTGCTGCTGCTGCTGCTGCTGCAGCAACAACAGAAGCAGCAGCAGCAGCAGACGGAGAAGCAGACGCAGAAGCAGCAGTTGCAGCAACAGAAGAAGACATTGGTGCTGGTGTTGCTGCTGCAGGCGAAGCACCAGCAGCAGCAACAGCAGCAGCAGCAACAGCAACAACAGCAGCAACAGCAGCAGCAGCAGCAAGGCCTCCTTTATATGGAGGTCTTCGCGTCTGTGCATTGCAGCTGCTGTCTCGCGTTCGTCTTCATTTGCAAGAGAGTGATGCTGCTGCTGCTGCTGCTGCACATTTAACTCTGCTGCGGTGTTTGTTTGTTCTGTCTTCAAGAGAAAGAGAGCTGCTGCCAGCCATTTATGAGGTGAACCAGCTATCTCCTGCTGCTGCTGCTGTTGCTGCTGCTGCTGTTGCTGCTGCTGCTGTTGCTGCTGCTGCTGTTGCTGCTGCTGCTGCTGTTTCCCCTAGTGTTGCTGTTGCTGGTGCAGCGGGTACTGTTGCTGCTGCTGCTTCTCCTGCTCCTGGTGCTGTAGCTGCTGCTGGTGCTGCTGCAGCGGCTACTGCTGCTTCTGCTGCTTCTGCTGCAATTGCTACTGGTGCTGCATTTGCTGCTGCCGCTGCTGCTGCTGCTGCTGCTGCTGTTTGTTTTAGGTTTGGCCTTCGCTTTTGCCGTCTTTTCATCATACCGCCCCCCTCGCAGTATTCACTTTGGCTCTCGGTTAGCTGCTGCTGCTGCTGCTGCTGCTGTTGCTGCTGCTGCTGCTGCTTTTGTTGCTGCTGCTGCTGTTGTTGCTGCTGCTGCTGTTGTTGCTGCTGCTGTTGTTGCTCTTGCTGCTACTGCTGTTACATTTGCTGTTGATGCTGCTGCTGTTGCCGTTGCTGCTGTTGCTGTTGCTGCTGGTGATGATGCTGCTGGTGCTGCTGCGGCTGCTTCCTGTCTTTTATTGTAATAATTTATGGGTGCGGTTTAGTGATTAGGGTTTAGGGTTTAGGGTTTAGGGTTTGTGGTTTTCAGGTATTTTGAAGTTGCTGACTGCCACCGCTGCGCATTTTATCCGAGACAAGTACATTAGGATTTAGGGTTTAGGGTTTGCGGTTTAGGGTTTGGGGTTTAGGGTTTAGGGTTTAGGGTTTAGGGTTTAGGGTTTAGGGTTTTCTTTGGCTTAATTATACTACCACTCACGGATCTTTTTTCTTAACATATGCAAATTAATTATTACTATTAATTATTATTATTCTTTCGACTATGATTATTTATTTATTTATTTATTTATTTATTTATTTATTTATTTTGGTTTAGGTTTACTAAAGAGGTGATGTCTGAGTTGGTGCTGCGCCTCATCTTCTCTCGCGCTGCTGTTGCTGCAGATGTACAGGGGAGGACAGATGAATACAAGTATATTTAATTAATTTAATTTAATTTAATTTAATTTAATTTAATTTGTTTATTTGTTTATTTGTTTACTTGTTTGTTTATTATTTAATTTAGTTATTTGTTATTTTGTATGTTTGTCTATTTACTTTATTCATTTATTTGCTGCAGATGTTCAGGGAGGAACAGATGCATGCAGACATATTTATTTATTTTATTTATTTGTTATTTATTTATTTATTTGTTTGTTGATTTGTTTATTTAATGTATTTGTTTATTTATTACTATTACTTATTTTTTGCTTTCGTAATTCAACTTTCGTCTATTATTATATTTATTATTACTACTTATTATTTATTATTATTATTATCAAATTATTATTATTATTATTATTATTATTTCTATTAATTATTATTTTGTTGTTGTATAACAAAGTATAACTGTGAAATAAAATATTATAAAATAATATAATTATATAGTAAAACATAATAATACAATAAAGTACACCAATATAAAAAATAAATAAAAAATAGAAAATAAGTATATACTGAAGTATAATTATTCACACATTAGTGTTTAGGGTTTAGGGTTTAGGGTTTAGGGTTTAGTGTAAATTAGTTGTTCAAATGTTTGATGTTTATATTTGTTTTTTTTCTTTTTTTTACAGGGCTCAGTTTGCAGTGCTGCATTTCTTTGCTTTTGCCTCTATAGTCAGACCAGAGCTCTTCTATTATTCTTCTTCTTTAGATGCAGCACTCTTTTGTTGTTTATTTGTCTCTCGTCTTGGTGCAACTTCTCCTCTTGCTGCAGAAGCACAAAGGGCTTTAAGAGCGCTGCACTGGATTGATCCACCAAGGGTAATCAAACACACTCTATTAGGGTTTAGGGTTTAGGGTTTGGGGTTTAGGGTTTAGGGATTAGGTTTTACGGCCTGGGGTTTAGGGTTTAGGGTTTGGGGTTTAGGGTTTAGGGATTAGGGTTTACGGCGTGGGTTTTAGGGTTTAGGGTCTGGGGCTTAGGGTTTGGGGTCTAGGGTTTAGGGTTTGGAGTTTAGGGTTTAGGGTTTGATGGTTTCGGTATAATGCATTATTTCTTTTTAGGTGTATTTGTTTGTTTCTTTTCGTTGGCGTTTACATTAATTGATGATTAATATGATTATTAAATTAAATTAAATTAAATTAATTAAAGAATTAAATTAAAAAGATTATTTATTGCTCGTTTGTTTCTCTTCTTTCTTCATTGTGTCTACACTGTAGAGGCATGTGGTTGTTCGTTTCTGCTGTACATTATTTCTTAACTAATTACATTATTAATCAGTTAATTAGTTAATTAATTAACTAAATAAATTAGTTAATTAATTAACTAATTAATTAACTAAATTAATTAACTAAATAAGTAATTAATTATGTAATTAACAAACTAATAAATTACTTAGTAAGCTAATTATACATACATATATATATATATTTATATTTATATGTATTTGTTTAAAATTGTTTTTCAGATATCTTTGAAGTGCCGCACAGCGATATCGGTGGCGGTGTCGCTGCAGCAAGGGAAAGACAGCAGTTTTGAAGTGTATAGGCAGCTGAGTTGTTTAAATGAGGGGTGCAGTTGGTTGCGTAAGCTTAAATTATTTCCTAATAATTTATTTGCTTCTTCTTTGTTGGATTCGGTGCGTCGTATGGTCGCAAACAAACACAAAAATAATACAAAAGAAACAGAAGCTATCGATATGCATGCGTATTGTCTATGGGCAGGTGTATGTACAGCTCTCGATATATGCAAAATGCAGCAATTAATGCACGTCTTTAAAATACAACTATATACAGCAGCAGCTCAAATAAACCCCGAAGCCATACATAAATGTCTCTGTGATTTCACAACCTCGCGCATTATCCGTGCTGCTGGGGTTTAGGGTTTAGGGTTTAGGGTTTGGGGTCTGAAGGCAAACGCTGGGGGAGGGAGACGTTTTATTGTTTTGCCTCGACTTTGTACTTTCCGTTTTAATTATTTATTTATTTTGTTCACTAAAACGAAGACGAATGAAATGCAAAAGAAATAAATAAATTAAAACCCAAGCAAACGTACTTTGCTGCTGCTGCTGCCGCTGATATTGCTGCTGCTGCTGTTGTTGCTACTGGCGCCAGTGACTGCTGTTGCTGCTATTGCTGCTGCTGCTGCTGCAACTGCTGCTATTGCTGCTGATGCTGCTATTGCTGCTGCTACTGCTGTTGTTGCTGCAGCTGCTCCTATTGCTGCTGTTGCTGCAGCTGCTGCAATTGCAGCTAGAGTGTGTAGCAAAGCTATATATATCAAAGCGGAGAAGTTTTTAAAGAGAATCAGGAAAGAACGTCATCATCAATGTTTTTGCTGTTTCTGCTTTTTTTTGTTTATTTTACTGCTTTATTCTCCATTTATAATGCAAAAGTGCAGAGAATAATATATTAAATAGAAGCAAAAATAGAAAAGAGAGACAAAGAGAGAAGAGCTTGACTGTGGCTGTGGGGTGTACATACACCTCAGCCAGCAAGCTTACGAAAAACGTAGAAGATAAATATTTGTTTTAGTTTTATTTTTTAAATTTGTTCGGTGTTAATCCAGCAGTCGCTTCATCCTCTCTACCCCTGTGCGGCAATCAAATAAAATAAACAAGCATAATATAAAAATTAAAAACAACATTAGCTGTACATACACCGCAAACAACAAGCAGCAATATACAAATAGAGAAAAAAATTATACTAAAAAGAAAGACAAAAAGAAATAATAGATTAAAGTAGACAAAGCTTCACACGAAGGAGAACCTGAAACAAATTAATTAGTTAAAACAAACAAACAAATACAAATAAAGACAAACAAAATATACAGAAAGAAAAGCAGAAATAAGCAAATACAACGAAAAACAATCAAACCAAGTACGAGTAAATAAAATAAACAGAAACAAACGCAGACACAAACAAAAAATGAGCAAAGACAAAGGCAAGTAATAAACAAAATCAAGAAAAAACAAATTAGAAATAAACAAATTAAAAATAAACAAATTAAAAATAAATAAATTAAAAAATAAATTTAAAAATACAAAAATTTTTACCGCCAACATTTTCGAGGAATTCCGCAAAAAATTTTGACTTCGCCTCATCGCCCTGAAAAAATAAATTAATTAAATAAATAAATTAAATAAATAAACAAATAAATTAAATTAAACAAATAAATAAACTTGAATGACACTAAATTAATAAAAGGAAACAGACAAATACAAAAAATAAACATCCGAGAGATAAAATAAATAATAAAAAAGACGTATAAGATGAGTAGAAAAATAAAAAATGATTAAACAAAAATAATACACAAAAAAATAAAACAAACAAATAAACAAACAAATAAACAAACAAATAAACAAAAAAACAAACAACAACAAAAGAGACAGAGAAAGAACAGAGAAAGAGAAGATAAATAAAGAAGAAGTAAATCGTTACAGCATCTTTTAGCACAAACAAATACAAAAAAGATAAGGAGAAAGACAAAGAGCAGATAAATAAAAAGTAAAGAAGAAGTAAATGCTCGTACGGCCTCTTTATAAAAAAAAACTAAAAAAACAATTCCTTTTAAAACAACTTCCGGTGCTTTGCAGATAGCAGCAGCAAAGCCCCAAACGTCAGCACGCTGCATGCAAAAGAGACAGCAGCAGCAGCAACATGCATGCAAACGTTTGCTTCTCCTGCCGCTCTGCTGCTGCTGCTGTGCTACTGCTGATGTGCTGTTGCTGTGCTGCTGTTGTGCTGCTGCTGCTCTCTTCTTCTTTGTTTTATTTGGTTTTAGCTAAACGCCCACTCTTTCCTTCTCCTCTCAACCCTAAACCCTAAACCCTAAACCCTAAACCCTAGCAACAACAACGGCAGCAACAACAGCAGCAGCAGCAGCAGCAGCAACAGCAGCAACAGCAGCAGCAGCAACATTTGGATTTACCTTTCCGCTGGAGAGCTGCGAAAGAAGAGGAGAAGATTTAATATACTTCGGCCCCAAACTTTCCCTTAGAAAACTTCACAGCCCCAACACAAAACCACCAGCAAACGCATGCATGCATGCATGCATGCATGCATGCATGCATGCATGCATTCCTAAACACGAAGAAATGCATGCATGCATGCATGCATGCATTTCTTCGTGTTTAGGAACAAAGCAAAGGAGGAAGAGAGAGGAAGAGAAAAACAACAAAGATGCATATATGAAATGATATGAGGATAATATAATATAAATACGAATACAATATGAATATAATATATAATCCTTAATATATAATACACTAAAGAAGCAAATGCAATTAAAACAAATAAACAAACAAATCTAAAAAAGAACAAATTAATAATTACCTTTCTAACAGACGCTCAGCCCAAAGAGCAGCAGTTAATGAACCCTTCCCAGCAGAGCGCAGTCTCTGCATGCAGCAGCAGCAGCAGCAGCAGCAACAGCAGCAACAGCAGCAACAGCAGCCGTTGCAGCGGGTGGCACTAGGTGCAGCAGCAGCAGCTGCTACTGAAGAAGCAATGGAAGTGAAAGCAGCAGCAGCAACAGCAGCAGCGACAAGGGCAGCAGCAGCAACACGAGCAGTAGCAGCAGCAGCAGAAACAGCAGCAGCAGCAGCAGCAAAATGTTGCATACCATCGCGCACGCAAAACACTCCGCCGCAGATTCCGAAGACTGGGAGAGCAGCCAACACTGCAGCAGCAGCAGCAGCAGCAGCAGCAGCAGCAGAAGCAGCAGTAAATGTGTGCTATGAAATGCAAACAAAAGAACAACAAGAAAAACGTTTTATTTAATTCTTTCTATTGTAAAAAAGAAACTGCTGCTGTTCTTCAGGCAATGAGGCAAAGAAAGACAATAAAAAATTGAAATATTATATTAAATATATAACTGTCATTACTCTTAGAATAACAAGACCCTAAACCCTAAACCCTAAACCCTAATTCCGTTTGAATTACCCTTTCAAAACTCTTGAAAGCTGCAGAGGGTTTATTTCTCTGCTTCTCCGCGGTCCCCAGATGCCACCAAGTTGTCGCTAAATCAGGCCTGCACACAAACCCTAAACCCTAAACCCTAAACCCTAAACACCAAACCCTAAACCCTAAACCCTAAACCCTAAACACCAAACCCTAAACCCTAAACCCTAAACCCTAAACACCAAACTCTAAACCCTAAACCCTAAACCCTAAACACCAAACTCTAAACCCTAAACCCTAAACCCTAAACACCAAACTCTAAACCCTAAACCCTAAACCCTAAACGCCAAACTCCAAACCCTAAACCCCAAGCTCTAAACCCCAAACTCTAAACCCTAGACCCTAAACCCTCACCTGCATTTAACAGCTGTAGCGTAGAGGCGTTCTGCTGCTGCCCAGTTGTGCAGCAACGCTTGCGTTTGGCCTCCTCCTAAATGTGCTGCTGCTGCTGCTGGTGCTGCTGCTGCTGCTAATGCAAAGGCTTTTGCTGCTGAAAGCAAATCACCCATCTCTAAATACGCTGAACCCAACTGCGTCCAACCCTCGCCAGCCCTGAAACACAAACCCTAAACCCTAAACCCTAAACCCTAAACTGTAGAGGAGCGGCGCATAGAGTTGAAACCCTCAACCCGAATACAGCCCGTGCATGCAAAGGTTTTAAAATGCTGCATAGGCTTAGTTATGTCCCCTAAACCCTAAACCCTAAACCCTAAACCCTCAAGCGGTTGAACCCTCAGCTCCAACCCTAAACCTCAAATCCCTAACCCTTCAATCCTTGCCTTCAAACCCTAAACCCCAAGCCCTATACCCTAACCCCTGAACTCTAGCCCTCTAGCCCTCAACCCCTAAACCCTAAACCCTAAACCCTAATTTTGATGGCGGACGTGGGGTTAAGAGCTGTTGCTGCATGCAGAACTTCAACAGCTTCTTCTAAAGCCCCTTTTAGTCGCGCCTGCTGCCCATACACCTGAAATGTGCAGAAAGATGTCGGGGCAATGGATTCACACTGCAATCACAATACACAAAACAAACAAATAACAATATATATATATAATATATATATATATATATATTTGTAGGATATATGCATGCAGCCATGCAGATAAACGAATGAACAAAATACAGAAACAAGCGCCAAACTCAGATGTATTTAATTGTCTTTTGATTTTTTTGTTGTTTATTTTGTATAAAAGGTTTGTTGATGCATTAACAGATTTTAGTGTGCTAACGGCCTGTCTATACATATATATATATATATACATATACATATATATATATATGTATATACATATATATATGTATATATATATAATATATAGATGCCTTAGCATTAATAAAATTTTATTTGCACTGATATATTTAATGTTTAGATGAAAACAAAGTGTTACTCTTATTATTAATATTATACAGGAATAAGTTCGTATTATATATATGTATATAAATGTATAATATATATATATATATATATAATAAACATATGCAATAAACTTTTTACTATAATATACTGAGAGTATCATTCTGTTTGTTTATATTTTGAATGGGCGTCTATACACTCCGTACATGAATAAAAAGCAGAATAATAAAGAAAAACAAACAAACAAAGCTGCAACAGAGGCTTGCTTTGCGCTTAGGGTCTAGGGTTTAGGGTTTAGGGTTTAGGGTTTGAATGTCTACTCACATTCTCTGCAAGTCTCTTTATTCCTTCTTTGTCGTTTTGCTGCGCTAACAGCCGCGCGTAATCTCCAACAAAATCCAAACGCGATGGATGACTGAAGTAAAAATGCATGCATAAATGCATGCAAGCAAGTGAATGCATGCATGCAAATGCATGCATGCAATGAATGCATGCAAATGCATGCATGCAATGAATGCATGCAAATGAATACATGCAAATGAATGCATGCAAATGAATACATGCAAATAAACGCATGCATAAATGAATGCAAGCAAATGAATGCATGCAAATGAATGCATTCACTAAATCGATTTGCATGCAAATGCATGCATACATCTGCATGCAATGTGCACGCATGCATGCACGCATGCGGAGTGTCTTACAGTTGATGGAGACGTTGAAATAATTTTATTGCTGTTTCATTCTCACCCAACTCGCATGCACACTTTGCTAGCTGCAAACAACAAAAATACAAATAAAAAAGAATAAAATAAGTAAACAAAGAAGAGCAAAGAACAAACACAAAAAGAAGAAAGTAAATAAACAAAAAAATAAACATAAAATAAAATAAATAAATATAAAATAAAATAAACGAACAAAAAATAAGATAAATAAATAAATAATAAAATAAATAAATAAAGTATAAAATAAATAGACAAAATATAGAAGAGAATAAATAAACAACGAAGCAAATGAAGATGTAAACCCAAACAAATAACAGACACAAGAAGAATGCTAACGGGTATGCAAACAAACAAACAAAAATAAATTAATTAATTAAGACAACAAAACAAATAAACAATTATGCAGCTTTAGAATCAAACAAAGACGCAGCAAAAGCTAGCAAATGAACGAACAAAGAAATAAAAGCATAAAAACATCAGCACAATTAAACAAAGCATCAGTAAGCACTCAACGACATACAATATAAATGTGAATAGACGTGAAAATACAGCTATTAATATAAATATATAAATATAAATATATATATAAATATTTAAACCTACATGCGAGAGAAGAAAAGGAGAATGAGGAAAGACAAGAAGAAGATTAGACAGACCTTCGACTGCCCGCACAAAATTATTTGTTTTTAAACAAAACAAAGAAAAATAAAGCTGTCCATACACCCCAGAATTACTTAAACCTAATGCAGAAATAAACTCATTACAATTCATTTTTAACAGTTCTTCTGGAAATAACAGACAGAAGGGAGGCTGCACACAAACAAACAAATAAATAAATAAATAAATAAATAAATAAATAAATAAATAAATAAGCACATCAACAGCAAAATAAATAAACCAAGCAGCAGAAAGCAATTGACAAAACAAATATAAACATAAATATAAATATTAAATGCAAATCCATGCTGGGGTGTATATACATGAAGATTTACACAATCTATTCTAAACCCTAAACCCTAAACCCTAAACCCTAAAACCAAAATTGGGGTTTACTGCCACACTAGAGGCGCCACAGGGCAAATATGCACTAGGGTTTAGGGTTTAGGGTTTGTCTGCAAGCAAGATACGAACCAAACGAAACCTATTAATCACAGCACATCAGCGAATGAAGATCCTAAACCCTAAACCCTAAACCCTAAACCCTTAAGCCGTACGGTAGGAGAATGGCTGTGGCTTCCATCTGCATGGGGGCTGGTGATGTTTGCTGCTTCTGCTGCAGTTGCTGCTTCTGCTGCCTCTGCTTCTGCTGCTATTGCTGCTGCTGCTGCTTCTGCTGCTGCTGAAATAACGCACTGGCCCCAGGCGCCTTCTCCCTCAGGTAGGCCTCCCTGCTGCTGCTGCTGCTGCTGCTCTTGTTGAGCGTTAACGCTGCAGCTGCTGCTGTTGCGGCTGCAGCCGTTGTTAGGAATGTCCTGATCGCATGAGAGCTGCACATCGGTCTGCATTGCCTGCTGCTGCTGTTGCTGCTGTTGCTGTTGCTGTTGCTGGTGTCTCCCTTCGTTGTTTTTCCTGCTGCTTTCGCCTGCAGCAGGTGCAGCTGCTGCTGCAGCTGGCGCTTCAGGGGCAGGTTCAGTACCCTCCGCAGCAGCAGCAGCTGCAGCAGCTGCAGCAGCAGCATTAGCTGCTGCTGCTGCAGTGTCTGGCCCTGACCAGGGTAAAGGGCCATGAGAGCGGCCTGCAGCAAACACTTGTGCTGCTAAGACATCTGTTAGGTCTTCCCATGCAGCAGCAAAAGACGGGCAGCTGCGTATACACTCCAGCAAAGCAGCAATCGCCTCCGACGGACGCTGCTGAGCTGCAGCAGCACCACAAACAAACAACAGAAGCAGCAGCAGCAACAGCAGCAGCAGCGATAATACAAAGGGAAGGTCTTAGACAGTCAGCAGCAGCCACAGCGAAACCTGCTGCTACACAAACAGCCGCACCTAAACCCTAAACCCTAACAAACCCTATGTAAACCCTGACACCTACACCCTATACTCGAATCCGTAAACCCTAGTGCCTAAACCGAGGAGGCTAAACCCTAAACCCTAAACCCTAAACCCTAGTTCCGGTATAAACGATTTTCTCGTCAGCACTCCCCAAAGCCGTGAGCACAGCCACCAGCAACAAAAACTCTAAACCCTAAACCCTAAACCCTCGTTAAACCCTTTCTTTCCTTTACCTCTTCGTACGCACGCCAGTAACCACCAGCAAAAGACATCTAACCGCCGCTGCTGCGCCAAACCCTCAAGGGTTTCGCCAGCCCTCAAAGCAGCGGATTGCAAACCCTCATCCTTCAGCCTCGAGATGGTATTCTACGCAGCAAACGCAAACCCTAAACCCTAAACCCTAAACGCTAAACCTTGCAACGTGAAGCAAGCAAAAGTAGGGGAAGGTATCGTATTGAGATGCAAACCCTCAATACGATACCTTCCCCTACTTTTGCATGCCTTGTTGCAGAATTGCATTCTGGCGAATAACCCTAAACCCTAAACCCTAAACCCTAAACCCTTAAACCCAAACCCTAAGACGCATGATAAAAGCATGTATGCAATGTGCATGTAAGTGGAGCAAGCAGCGCAAACCCCCAACCCTAAACCCTAAACCCTAGATAAAGGGATTAGGGTTTACGTACTTGCGTTCGCTTTCCTACGGCAACGAGATGTGCTGCTTTTGTTTGTTGTTTACTCAATTCCAAATACAACTGGCAGAAAAGCAACAAAGGAGGCAATGCTTCAGGGTCTTCTCTGCACACCCAACGCATGCATGCATGCATGCAAGAATGAGGTGTACATTATAGAAAAACATAAATGCACCTTATTCATTATTATTATTCTGTTTTTTCAAACAACGCATGCATGCATGCATGCATGCATGCATGTATGCATGTATATACATGTGCATACATGCATACATGCATGCATGCATTGTCTGGATGTGTTTGTTTTCTGTTGAGCTGTTTGTTTTTTCATGCAATATGTTTTGCAAGATGCGGGTGTTGTTAGTTAGTGGGATATCAGGTCTTGCTGCTGCTTTATAAGTGTTTAGTTCTCAGACTTTCTCTGGCTCTCTGCTTCTGTGTTTATTTCTTGTCTTCCTCCATTTTATTGCATTACTTTGTTTGCTTTACACAAGGCGAAAAGACTGAGAAGCGAAGATGTACATACACTTGGAGATACAGTGCGCGACGGAAACATACATATGTTTTGCAAGATGCGGGTGTTGTTAGTTAGTGGGATATCAGGTCTTGCTGCTGCTTTATAAGTGTTTAGTTCTCAGACTTTCTCTGGCTCTCTGCTTCTGTGTTTATTTCTTGTCTTCCTCCATTTTATTGCATTACTTTGTTTGCTTTACACAAGGCGAAAAGACTGAGAAGCGAAGATGTACATACACTTGGAGATACAGTGCGCGACGGAAACATACATATACATAGCATTAAATATATTCTATTTATTTGCATTCCAAATCATACATATATGTAATATTATACGCATGATGCTGTACGTTGCATGCAATCTGCATTTATAGGAAACTCAATCCAAAGTAAGCAGTTAGCGCTATGACTGTAAAGATACAACACTGCTAGAATAAAAGAATATGGGAAGTGTAAATGTATATACACCTGAAATTAAATACAAAGAAAATATTATACCAGTGCATGCAAGAATATGCATGCGCTAATCGCATGCAGTTAAATCGCTAAGGGTGTCAGCACGCCGCTGCAAATATATTTTCAAATATAATTAGACATATATTGAACATTTAGACATATATATATATATATATGTCTGCATTATATTCTGCTCGCGCTCCACTATAAGTACCCTAAACCCTAAACCCTAAACCCTAGCTTACAAGTGGTT